ATCTGAGAGTGGTTGGCATCAGTCAATTAAACTAAGTTATGAATGAGTCTCCGCACCTCCCGATGAGTTCCGAGTTATATTTGTACTAGAATGCAGCAAAACATACCTGTTTGATAGTATCTACAGCGCTAGTTGATCGAACACAGGGCGATAGCATATGATTGTATCGTCACTCCACGGTTAAAAACAAGTTTCGGAGGGATCGTGTACTAGCTTGTGTAATAGCACAAATCTGATGGTTAGAAGCCAAATGTAATTGTTGTCAAAATGAAGGCACATTTTTATTGAAAGATAAAATCTATGCCAACTTTTAATCAATCGATACAAAATCTACGAAAATGGAAGATATCGTAAACCAACGATAACAGGACTGAAAATGCTTATAATTTTTGAAAGTCGATAAATTACTGAGAACTGTTCGGTTACGCCTGCCAATCAAAGCTTTTTTCGCCCTAGATTTTTTTTAAACTATAACCCTGCTAGAAAGGAAAAACCTCAGTGACTTAATACACTACACCAAATCTCAGACTACCTATTAGCAACTCATGGTTGGATGAAAGGCAGCTAGTTAAGACTTTTATCACCAAGATAACGGATACTGAATACAACTACACTGAGGATGCGTTTGGGAAACCTCTGGAAGATATCCCAACAAATTAAATAGATCGACCATTTATGTTTATCTTCATAATTTCGACATTACCAAGGCATTTCTTAAGCATTGATTAAAATCAATTGATCAACACACATTTTCATTGGTAGAAGCTGTTATTCATTCACCTAAACAATATATTTCGAATACCTGAATACAGCGCTGCCGTAGATACTGACCGCATAGATTTTGGGAAGAAAATTACACAAATAACCAGTCATCTTGTCACCATTCCATAACGCAACAAAATTTTTACACTTTCCAAAACAAAATATTTCTGTGTGTCATAACCATATTTATATTCCCAAACCGTGTTACAGCTTTAAAATAACAAAAGGAAATTCTCTAACTGACCAACATACTTATTGCTTTGAAAAGATCACAACTAAAAGAAAATGGAGATACATTAAGAAAAATGAACAGAGAAAAGGAGAGAACATCAAGAGGAACCATCAATTCATTGTCTAACAAATTTCGTCTGAGATAACAAGGCCTTGTTACTAAATATAACTTCATGCAGCGTTGAGGATGTTAATAACACAAAAAAAATATCGTTTAAAAAAAAAGAATGATACTATTGTATCTGGTATAAGATGGTCATCACTGATTGAGAAGCTTTTGATGTTTATTTCATATCAATGACACACAATAAATGATTTACAGTATCTGCATAAAAGGAAGGGTTTGGACAATTAGACCATCGGAAATGAAAGTAATCTACAAAATAAAATTTTAAAAAACATTTCATCGAATTAAGATACAATATTTATTGGCAGCGTTGTTGTTATGCGGAAGCATATACCTATATCCAGGTATAGAAAAGGAGACATGATGTGACAGAACGTTTTACGAGGATACTTTTAAAATGTTCTTTCTCAAAAGACAACACGCACATAAGTAAATTGTTATTTTGACAGTGTAATAAAAAAACGAAGATTATCAGAACTATGTGATATATTAGCGCAATACATTTTGAACAGTCTGATCACACATAATATACTTGTTAAGAACATTTATATAGTAAAAGATAAACGGTCAACTAGTCAAATGGAAGGTAAGAGGAAACAAACACAAAGGAAATGATGTGAAAACAATTTGGAACCTCATCACTGAATAATAAGCTAATATTACTAGCGTAGGTTTAAGGTGAGAACAAATTGTTTTTGAATACACAAAGGAGGGTTAAATTTTTGTATGGCTGAGGCTTCAATAAACCTTAGTATACGCCCTTTTACACTTTTGTACAACACCACAAAAGCCGAGTTAAAATTAATCTTAAAGCCTGTTTCGATTATATGTTTGGCAATAGAAGATGATGGATGTTTATCCTCTACTTTTATTGGATCATTTGTTTCTGCAACCTGTCTAGTTGACCTACTTTTATATATAAATATTCTTAACAAGTATATTATGTGTGATCAGACTGTTCGAAATGTATGGCGCGAATATGTCATATAGTTCTGATAATTTTCGTCTTCTCATTACATTATCAAAATTTATCAAAGGGACTATTTGCCTTAAATTGCTATTATTTCAAACATAAAACAGACTATTTGATCAAAATGATACACTGACAAATAAAAATCAGTCAGGCAGTTATTTACAATTAGTATAGATTCACACAACTGGTTCCCTTCATAAGTTTAAACAAAGCAAATACAATCACGTCTGCAGAGTACAATGAATTCACTGTATTTCCTTGCTTTCTATTCACCTGCATACAACAATTTCCAATTACTGACATAATGTTGGAAAATGAATTGTCAATCAATAACAAATAAGTTGTGTGTAATATGAGCCTAGTACAGTACAGATATAAGTCGATGTAAGTTGCCATACAACACAGTCAAACAAGAGAGCTTCGAAACTGAAGAAGTACTTGATCAATAGAATAAGAGAAATAACTATAGGGTTGAATAAATCAAAGCAAGGATGAAACAATGAAAACAACATCTTTCCCGATTAAATGACTTTGATAAGCGTTGATTTTCGTTAGGTATTTGAGATATATTTTATGGTAACAGTTATGCGAGTGGACTTAACGTGTAAAAGATAAAAATGGTGAGGGAAAAAACATTTGTACGAGCTTAGCTAAAATCTATTTCTGATGATCATTTATTTCAAATTCCAAGTATATTCATTCCTTCATCATGATACTATTAATATCAAGAGTGAATGGAATTAATCATGGTCTTACTATTAATAATGAAGTGTAAATTAATACATAGTAAAACAGAATGGACACATATATAAATTACCAAAACTGAAATACTACCGATAGAACATATTTTAAAAAGACACGATCCGATAGTATTAACGTCAAAATATGTAGGTGGGCAGTCATTTTTGAACTAAGCACCTCATTGCATAAATGAGGCAATCATACTGACTTTCTTGTATAATTAAAGTGTCTATTTGATTCAGGAAAAATACAACGCATGATTATTCTAATTAATGGTTAAAGACTGTGTGATATGGCTCAAAATCATTTGCGACAGCAGAGGTGTACTCAATTTTCATCTCATCTTAGATACTAGGCTTTTAAATTCCTTATAGATTTTTTTTATTTCCCTGATTTATATTTTCTTCTCAAATTGTAGCTCCTATGACTAATCTTTTCTACTGCCTGTACTACTCTGGGATTTGTTATGAAGATTTCATCTCGCTGTGCTAATAGGATATGACAACTTCGACTGATGTACACTTGCCAGATTCCACGTTGCGTATGGCTGAATGACTGAACAGATTAAGTGAAACAACTCTTTGATTAGTAGACAGATTAAAATATACAAAGATAATATTAATAACATTTTATACATACATTTTATCAACAATCAGGACAAAGTGAATGCTAAAAGTTGATTAAAATATATTTGAATCAACGATAAATCAAGAAAGATGCTAAGTTATTGAGAAAATTAAGATCATTTGGATTGAGTTGATAGAAAGATTTACAACTAATTAACCGATTACTTACTTACGCCTGTTACTTCTCGTGGAGGAACATAAGCAACCCACCAGCATTCTCCATCCAAACCTGTGCTGGGAAATCCTTTCCAGTTGTTATTCATCCTTTTCATACATGCGTCTATTTCCCATCGTAATGTGTTCTTTGGCCTTCCTCTTTTCCGCTTCCCTTCCGGATTCCAAGTTTGGGATTGCCTCGTGATTCAGTTTAGTGATTTCCTCAATGTATGTTCTATCCACTTCCAACTTCTTTTCCTAATTTCCTCTTCAGCTGGAAGCTGATTTGCCCTCTTCCACAGGCTTTTGCTGATGGTATCCAGCCATTGAATGTTGAGTATTTTGCGTAGACAATTGTTTATAAATACTTGTACCTTCTTGACGATGGTTGTAGTAGTTCTCCACGTTTCAGCTCCGTACAGTAGGACTGTCTTGACGTTCGTATTGAAGACTCTTACTTTGATATTGGTTGACAGTTGTTTTTAATTCCATATGTTCCTCAATTGTAGGAATGAGGCCCTTGATTTGCCAGTCCTCACCTTTACGTCTGCATCAGATCCTCCTTGATCATCAGTGATGCTTCCCAGATACGTGAATGTTTCCACATCTTCAGAGTTTCGCCATCAAGTGTGATTGGCTTGGCGTTCACCGTGTTGTAATTGAGAATCTTGCTTTTTCCTTTGTGTATGTTGAGGCCTATTGATGCAGAGGTTGCTGCTACATTTGTTGTCTTCGTCTGTATTTGTTCGTGTGTATGGGATAGGATGGCTAGGTCATCTGCGAAGTCCAAATCTCCTAATCAACCCATTAGTACTAACTGATGTTAGGTTTGTCTAGTTCAGTGTTGATTGGATTTTAGAGATCAAGTTACAATATGGCTATCAATTTAAGTGACTTCACATCGCAGCCCAACTCCTCCTGTAATCACTCTAGAATTACTGCTGGTCCCAAGCCCGGAATAAAGGAGGAGGGTTGGGTATGGGGTTAGCAACTCCATCCCGTACAAAACAACGTTGCTGAAAAAACGCTAACCAGAAAAACATCACAACCCGAATAACTCAATGGTGAAGTTTCATGCTGTGAATCCTAAGCCTATTACCAGTTGTTCCCTTAATATTCCACGTACGCCTTGCTGATGTCACTAGCATGAAACCTAGGTTAAGTAGGATTTCCTGTTGACGATCTCCAACATTAATAAAAAGATATTTGGCATTCAATATCTTTACAGTTCCAAAAGAAATATCATCTTCCGACATTTCACCGGACTATTCAGTTAATTATTATTATTTTGCCAGAATACACGACAAAAATTATTCAACTTACAACCAGCAACATGCGGTCGAATGGTTTTCACATGAAAACAACAATTAAAAAGAAACACCAACTATCTTCGACGATTATTTCGCTGATCTTTACCGATACCAGTATCAGCTCGATATCGTTGGTTGATTTCTGCAATCTCATCAGAATCATCACTGTTATCATCAGCATCATCATCTGAGCCTTCCTCATCTTCAGAGTCTGATCCTTTTTCATCATCTTCATCATCTTCGAAGATGGCAGCATTGGCATCGAATTCAATATCATCATTCTCTTCTAATTTTATAGTGTCAGGAATCTCTCCTATCATTGAAAAAAATATATAACAGACATTGCTAGAACGGTCAACATATGGAATACACTGGAGTTACATGGATTTTAATAAATTCACGTACAAAAGCAGAATAAGAGAATCGTAAAACTATAAGGTAGGATAATTACGTGTACTCAGTTCTGAATCACCCAGATCCAGGTCGCAACTGCTGAAAATATTATAGTTATAGTTCCATAAATGAGCTAATGATCTAAAAGTCATTGGTTCGAATTTGAAAGATATTTGGGAAATTTCTTGTGATTACAAAGATAAACAAGTCTATCAGCTAAGAGAGCTACTTTCAGAAAGTATAATTACTACATTGTATGACGATAGTCGTAAGAGATTTAAGCAGAATATCAAATCAAAAACTCTTTCAGGCATAATTATTTACCGGCTGAACAGAAAATAGTAATCTGGTGATCAATCACATGGTGGTGTATACTATGCTCGGAATTTCAGTCTAAATTATACTGGAAGCTGTCATGAGAATTGAAAACCTACAGTTTGATCTTGCGTCTGGCTAATATGTGTGACACTGTCCAAACTAAAATCACACATTCGCTCAATGGCTGTTCGCGCTTCATGGTTGTGAATACCTATAACGAACATAAGTCAGTTGATTAGGAACCTCATCAATTAGGCGTCTGCCAATTCAATATCTAAGAAGAGATCTAAAAGCACAGCTTACAAGATGATATCATGAACTAATAGGGTGAAGAGTAATTGAAAAAATATAATCTAGAAGACTTGTAAGCAATTCAAACACTAATGCTTCAAATAGAAGGTTTAAAAACTATGACAGTGTTTCGCTAAAAATATAGACAAACTAATCAAACCTATTGTGAATTATATCAGTCTAGTTAATAAATATTGACGACTTATCATACTTGTCAACAGATATTTATACATGCTAATGAAAGTTTAATAATCTCAAATAGCTAAATTTACCATATAATTTGAGTGAGATTAGTGGATGGCAATGAGTCTATAATCCGCATTTCGTCCTATTTTGGACTAGTCAGTTAGGTATACTTGCATACAGATAGAAAAGTTCAAACTGAGACTTTAAAAAACACATACCTTTTGCTTAAAACGCCAAGTTATTCACTGAGTCTAGACAGCCACTAGATTACGCAGCGGTTATGATTTTTATTTGCAAATGTTAGTATTTTCCTATTGTTCATAGAACGAGAAGTAGATCATAGATTCCCACTGTTAAATACTACCAAATATTACTAAACCCTTGTGACTAAATCAAAGCGATCCATGTATAGTACACATATGTTAATAGAAACTGATCACTTGGCAGGTTAAGAGTTCGCGTGCAAGAACGAATACCTTGGGCTCGGTCTTTAGATCCAAGGTCGTAGGTTCACACTGCTACTGACGAGTCCAGTACTAGAACAAAACAGAAACTCAGTGCTTCCAGGTTTTCGATGGTAGTCTAGACAAGACCAACTCGTGATTAAACTATGAAAGTTCTACAATCTCCACAAATCCTTCTATACTGATAACATCAATTTCAAGACACTGTTGCACTGATTTTTTCCGAATAAGTTGCTACACAACAGTATAACAAAAAGGAAAAAAACATCAAAAAATAGACCTACCTAATGATTTAAGAGTTCTAGCTTCATCATTCAAATATTTCATAATCACATCGGCTTTATTGTCTTGATAATCTCGTAAACCAATTAAAATGATATCACCATTACTGATCCATACCTATAATAATGACGGTATTAGACGAGAATTTATGCATAGATATCAGTAGATATGTGATAAAAATGTAAGCATATGCTGACCTTCATGAAATGTCTTATACATGAACGCTTAAACACTGACTCTCTAAATCCCAGAAGTTTTCTGCTCTTGGGGTTCAAACAGAAACAGGTGGGAAATACAAAAGAGGCTTTAATCTAAAAGGTAGTTTATGTACAGAAAAAGAGCTTATTTATGGGATTGTGTGTGACGTCGAAATTCTAGAAGCTTCTGAAAAACGTAATAAAATTGATGGAAAACTTTATAATTGTCCAGTCAAGACAATTGAAATGCGATTCAGTTTTCCAGAATTATCTTGAAAGTTTTTAATGCGCGTTGATTAATGGAAGTATTTTAAGTATGATGAAAATACTGAATATGAATCTTTTAGCACGGTAAAAAGTAACGGTATACTAGTCGTCGTTCAAATTGGCCAACAATCCGACTAAATATACAATTCCTGACGATGAAACCAGAACATCACGAATAACAAAATGGAAATATGAGAACTTTGATCAGTTGAGCAATTAGCCAGTGTGAATAGTACTGTTCAGTCTGAATTTATAATGGAGACCTACAACCACAGTCGCTAAAAATACAGAATAGAAAGACTACAAAAGACCTTCAACAACAACTTAGTCTTTTTCCCCAGTGAAATACTTCACTGGATTTGCGACAACACTTTGCAACAAGTTGTTTAACTCATTTCAGGAAAAGGAAAATATGCAACTCAGCAATTTATTGATATTGTTAGTTAATGCAGTCAAGTTTATTGACATTTACACAATTTGTACACGTGGATTTAGTTACTGATTAACGTCAAGTACTGCCCAGTGAAGTGCGTCCAAATTCGCCTATAAATCCCGTATAATCCAAAGAACCCCAACTAAGCTGATTCTCGGGAATCGCAAAGCTCCCGTATGATGATCGACTGACTAAGGTAAACCTATTTCCAATGTCATACAGAAGAACTAGAGGTGACTTGGTCACAGTTCTTATGTTAGTGATAAAAAAAGCATCAGATATACCCTTTTTCCCTTGTTTTCCAAAACAGATAATATAAGAGGACATCCTAAAAACGAATTACTTGTCAACTGACTAACGGTTTTCTCATCGAATCGTCAACGAATGGAGTTCATTACCTCAACATTTGATTGAAGCTCTATCTGTTGACGCTTTCAAAAGGAAGTTGGGTCAATTGAGAGACCACCATTGCCAGGACTAGCACACGCCACCCAGTCACTTGTCCTTTTCAAACTGAGACTGAATCAGTACTAGATTTGTGACTGATGTATGACAAACTTGTCATCTGCAATCTTGCCTTCATCCTTATATTAAACCGCATCAGCTCTTGCTCGGTTATATACAGGGGCAAGTTGTGCTTGCAGGAAACCACAAGTAGTCATACTAGTATTTTACCAAGCTACAACAATCCGTTACTAAAGACAGTAGTTAGAAGCTTAGTTTCTACTGGGGTACTGTACTATGTAATAATCACGACAGTTTTTTAAGTTTGCACAAATTTTCTTGTGGTAATTGTAAATAAAAAAGATTATCTGACTGGTATAATTTTGATAATTCGATGATCGATAGTTACTTGTTAATATACGACAGTTACTTATGAATAATAAATTTCGAGATGATAGGATGATTCTATCTGTATAAGGAAGAATATACAAATCACAATTTCACTGTTATTCTAGAACTGGTCATATCGACAACGATCAATTGTAAAACGAGAATGGAAGAGTTGACTTTTATACCCGTTTGTTAATTGGATATGTCTGGAATGATTATACAATTGGTGTCAAGTTATATTTTAGTTGGGAGTGGCGAATAAATGCAAATTTAACGATTTCGCTAATAACTCTATGTGTATGGAACACTTGCTGGAACAAAAAAATCATTTCAACAATCCAATATTATTATTATTATTTTAACACATAAATATTGGTACAAAGGGGTACAAAACATATATGCACCATATATATCATTTAATTTGTGTGTGGGCTATGATACTGTCCGGGTGCCCAAACGGAAGTAGGTGGTTTTCTTAGGAAGCCGCTACATGAGCCTTTTACCCAGAAGTCTATTCCACAAGGCAGTAGAACAATTTTAGGAGATGCGGTCTCATGGTAGCCAGTGGCGAACAACAGGTTCACAAGCGTTTGTTTCTTCAGGGTCCTTCAGCTTAGTTCATGTGCACTAGTGGCTTGGAATTAAGGCTTACCAACTGTCCTAGGTGGATCTTTTGCACCCACCAAAATTCAAAGGACAAAGTGAATGCTTTTATGGCTAAGATAAAATATTGTGATAACGCAATATAACACCAGCAAGGATTTTCACATACACTTAAACTACAAATAACTGGAATTTAAAACACTACAAATATATGTTTATATGCATACTTTTTTGCGCAACTTTCCACGAATATGACACAGCCTTTTTACACCGTCGAAACAATAAGCCTCCAATCGACCATTGCCTAGAAGGCGTTCAACTTTTGCATATTCTATAAAACCAAATACACCATGAAACAAAACGATATATTTCCGTGAAAATATGATATAGATATAAATAAATAACAAGTAGAATGTAACAAATTCCCATTGAAATAAACTTTAATTCATGAAGAACACAAAACAAAAAACGAATTCTGTTATGAATAATCCCACTTAGATGAACATATAAGTTAACATTTTGAATTAAAAGTGAATTCATTTTCTGAAACTTCTTAGTTTTTAAGAAACAGTACAAGCACCAGTCAATGAATATCCAGAATAGCAGTGTCACCTATATTGGTGTCTTGCATTTTGTACACATTTTGGAATATAATTACGACAAAGCATCGAATCGAAAGTCAAACGGTGCTGAAAATCGCAGTAGTGATTAGGTGTTTATCTAAACATATTTGAAGCCATTTTAGAACTTGGGGTACAAAACAAGGATGTTTATTGAATGAGAAACTATCTATTGCTGGTTTGTTCGAATACTACACATCTATACACCAAAGAATAATGGGTTATGAATAAACGAATGTTAAGAATCATCATAAACATCAAAATTAAGCCAACAATTCATAAAGTTGCAGTCTCTTACATTACTGTCTATTATTATTAGTAACTCATTAACTGGGAAGAGATTCATATACTTGGCTTTGAGCCACATTCTTAGTATGAGGACTAGCGATACTATAGGATTGCCCAAACTAAAGTAGGTGGATCGAGGTCTGAACCCGGGACTTGTTGGTTAAAAATCAAGGGCTTTGACCACTAAGTCACAGCCGACTAATCGAGCAGATGTTTGAGTATTAGGTTATAAGTTATCCATGTAATAAGAAGACTAATGTGCTACTACTTAGAAATTCGAACCTAACTAATTAAAATAGGGAATGAATCTTATGACAGAATGGATGGTTTTAACACTTCCTACTTGGCCATATACTCTGGGAGTATTTCTTTTATAGTTACCTGAAAATAAAACTGGATTAGTGTTAAATGGTTTTGTCGGCAATGGACAGATATTAGCTGTAGAGTTCACAGAATAATCATCTAAGAATGGTCACACTACATTATTTTGTGAATTGCATATTGCTGTACTATCTTTGTACTTTTTAAAACCTCAACACATGGGTTTGAAATCTGCAAGGGTCCGAAAATTTTAGTTTGTGTGAAGCATATTACTGTCAACCATACAACGTTACGGTTGACAGAATGACAAAAATTTGTTAATTTGTCTTAAAATTCTTCAAACGAACTGATCTACAATATAGCTCGAATGGATCGTCACGACAACTAAGTCATATAACAGTGTTAGGGTTTCAATTACTATTGGGTTGAATGGAAGATGAGTGTCTAAACCAATGGACTAAAGCTTTACTGCGCGTCCAAAAAACTTCACAAGCATATTACGAGGTCATTAATGCCCTCCTAAACAGACTCTGTAAATCAAAAAGCGATTAGTATACTTAAGCAATAATTAGCGTAGTGTTGATAAACCTATACTGCTCAACAAATATGCAACTGGTGCAATTTAGGTATATAGACTGCAGTCAAATTTAAACGCTTGATCTGATAATTTAAAAAACAAGTGCACAAATTAATGAGTCGAAGACTTATGATGTATTGGGTAGAATAGAAATATGAGGAGCTATTTTTGTTTTCAGCTTTTTAGCTCTCTATTTTCTGTTTTTTAGCATAGTGAATATATGAAGTGTAAATCACTTAAACAAAAGTATTTTATATTTAATTACGGTACTACGTATGCTGTCAAAAAGTTCAGGCAAACTTAATATATTGTCTTTACACAATAAAATGGTTTAAGAAGTCCCTAGGAAAGGCGTGAAATGTGGCCCGCAACGAATGTACAGCAACTATGACTGAAACACAGTACATCACGTCGGTGATAAGTGACTATTCAATTCAAATAACGAGAACAATAGAAAAGCATTACTACTATACTGAACAGAAAGGTTTGGTACAAGAGGGCACCAAGAAATGTGTATTACAAAACAAACTGACGATGTAATGGCTAATTTTTGAGAAAAGTAGAATTAACTTCTTTACTTGAACATAAACATTGGTACAAGGGAGCAGCAAAATGTATATGTGCCACACAATAAAAATGGGATTGCAAAGACGTAGAGAAAGGCGAGTGCAGTATTTCGAAAAAGGATAAAAATGGAAAGAAAATTAATGTATGAGTGAAGTAATAAAATAATAATAATAGGAGCAGTTCAGTTGGAAAAAACCAGTAGGAATTCTTTCAGATAGAGAGAGTTACAGCAAGATCGCCACTGGCTTCTATTCTGAACCATGTTTGACGTCTCCAGCTAGTGTCCCACAATCTCTAGGACCGTAACCACGGAGTCGTGAGGATTCAACAGAAGCCAGTCCTGTACAGTTTTCTTTCATGCCACGACGCTATCATACACTGACCACCTCTCCGCTTTTTCCAATCTCGATGTGGAATTTGATGGGACAATATTCATAGTACATGTCCAAACCACCGAAGTCGGTGTTTCAAGATAGTGACACCGATTGAATTATCGTCGCTGTGCCCAAACACACGGCACCAAACCTCCGAATTACGAACAAGATGTTTCCACTCGACGTCAGAAATCCTTCGGAGGCAACGGTGACCAAACACAGAGATTTTTCGTCCCCAAATGCCCTGGTACGGTTGAGAGTGGAGAGGGTGAGCTCTCCATCTCGAAATCCTCTCACATGGCCACGCGTATACAGCCTCTACCAGGGAAGTCCTACTCACTACCTCGCACCAAGGGTGTTGTTTACGAAATTGAGAGGACGAAAAGCGAATGTTCAGCGCTTTAACCGGATTGGTGGACACGGAAAATCCACCTAGGGGAGTTGGAAAACCCTGATTCCAAACCGATTGTGCTCATGGGCTCCAGCATCCTGAGGGAACAACTGGCGTATGAACTTATCGTTGGTCACCGGCTACCATGGGACTGAATCTCCTCGCGATGCTCCACTGCCTTGTGGATCAGACCTTTAGGTCAAAGGCTCCGTGTGTGGCCCCCTAAGAAAACGATCTGCTTCGTTTTGGGCACCCGGGCAGTATTATAGCCCTCACACAAATGAAATGAGATTTGTGTGGCGCATAAATATCTCGTACCTCTTTGTACCAATATTTGTGTTTAAATAAATAAAATTTTACAGTCAGACTAACATCATGAAGGAGCCAAAGATGGCCCAGATTGGCACAAGCCACTTTGGCTTTCATTATACGTAGATCGATTTCTTCATTCAAGCCACCCCCAGCACTTAAGTAGCTACCCAGAAACACAAATTTCTTGACTATTTCTATCTGCTCAATACGAAGAGTGTGCGTTTAGGGTCCTGCCAGTCTTATAAAGGTACTTTGCCCTTAAAAGATCCAAAGTAAACGCCATACCTGCGGACACTGATTGGAGCGAAATATACTCATTGAGAAATAAAAATAGGAAAGACTGGGTCAGCGAAGATTTTTGTTCTTAGAAGACTGATCCTTAAAGCTGTAAAACCGCGAATGCCCGTTTTTCGAAATAATAAACAATAATGTCTGTTAATGATGTTAAGAATAACAATAGTAATAATAATCGATTTGCTAAATATGGTGACAAAAAGGTAAAATAAAAACAAAAACACGAAAATATTACTTTTATTAGGAGACTGAAGACGTAGTTATGAGCTTGAATACTTATTAAGAGGATAAAGATTACCAGTTGTGAAAAAAAAGATTGTGAAGTGATATATTATACAGTTGAAGTTAAGATGAACTGTAATCAGAAAGAACATGGAAATGGAGATAGATCGGTTAGGGATAAAAGTTCAACAGAAAAAATAGATGGTGGCTTTGAAACAAAGATCAACATCAGTGCAGAAAAACAGGTTGGATAGGTTTTTTTTCGTGTATATGGTTCTGGATGTTCCAGATACATAGCAGATGCTTTAACAGCGTTATGAAGGAAGTTCACTAACTCTTACCATGTAGATATATTTGGACGCTGTTTATTTCCGCCGAATGATCTGCGTTCACAAGATTTACGACCATGGAGCTCCTTATTTGTTGACTTTGTCGCGTCAAACCACCTACATACCTAGCTCCGAAGGGGCAGGTGGATCGATACATTCATATAAAATTGCTCCGTTGCGAGAGCTTACCATCTAGGTTGTCCCAGAACATAAGTCAAGAGGAGAATATCAATCGTAAGGTTTTTGTAAAGAACATTCTTCTGAGAAAATCCGGAATTGCTCTCTTTAGGAAATATTCAGCTTTGTCCTCCTAAAAACAGATGTTTATACCAAAGATTTTCCTTGGTGTGTTTATTTGTACCTTTAGAGTTTTGACAAGTATCAGTGAGAACCTATTTTGAGAAGTATTTTTCTTGGAAGGTTCAAGTCATAACGAGAATGAGTGATCCCATGGCTTTACCATTAGTTTGGAACAATGGAGAAGTGATCAGCAGTGGTTTATACTTTTCCAACAGTTAACGTCATAGCATAGTCCTCCTGAACAATTTTATTGTCATTGATCATAAGAAACAGAGCTTTTTGATTTTTAATACATGTGACAGAGTTTAAACGTTCAGTAGGTATATCAATGCATTTAAGCCTTAAATAAAAAAGTGTACTTATTCCCTCTGTTTTAATTTGTTTCTCATTTTTAATATTATTTTGTATCCTTATGAGAAAAAATGCTCTTTAAATAATATGCTTCATGTTTAACTCTCTATACTACTACTATTGTCACTTTTACTAATTTAATAGTCATTTTGATGATTTCATCTTGATCAGTACCATGATATGACAAATTATCATCTACTTTTGCTGTCATGGTTTTTAGAATTTACTGCTGTTACTTATTTAGCATTGTCATGCATATAGAGGAGTTTGGAGCAGTCAATATATTATACTTCCACCCCTCCTAAAGAGTGAAGTTGGTCGAAGCTTTATCACTTTGTATGACTATAAGTTAAAAAGAGATGTGGAACCAGAGAACAGTAATAAAGTATCAATGTCTTTCAATCTCAGGGGATATGTTTTGATCCTTAATGTTATTTGGTCAAAGTAGCGAGCCTTATTAAATCAATTGGTTATAAACAACTTATAAACTGGGACAAATAAGCATCGATAAAGTTGGTACATTTCATCACAAATATAATATCAACAGGAAAATTAGAGTCGAAGTAAAGGTGTTTACTATAGTAAAGGCGCAGTTTCAAAGGAATGAGGGAAACAAAGTAACAGGAAGTGCGAGGTAATAAAAGGACTCAATATTCGAAGGAAAATAAGGAGTGTCTACTTCTAAGCTCCTGCAAATGTTGAGCCACCTGACGAAAAGATCTACACTCACATATAACGAGTGTAACATGGACCTCGTTTCACAATTCCATACCTCATGACCAAGAGTCAATAACTCCGTGGGTCGATAGTGAATCAAGGAAAAAATTAATGTGAAAATATCTACAGGGTGACTGGACTCCCACACGGGTAAGGACTACAATTACCAAACGCGTTCGACATGCATGCATGTTTTCCTAATACTAATGATGGTAGACGTGAACTTTCAAAAAGTAGATAAAGTGTTGGCTCTAGTGACATAATATTATGAATTGGGTCAGACAACTCTAAATTTCAGACAACTGTCATGAATAATCAAAGTACCATTTATGAGGTAGTCAAAGGTATAAAGCAGTATAGGGTTATGCATACAACTTATGAATTATATATATATATACCTTGACCAGCTTCTTTATATATCAAGTCGCGTTTCTGACTTTCATTCTCGTTCTTTCCTCGACGCCGATTCTTTCCTCCCTTTCCTGAATATTAGAATTAGAGACATATTAGGCCAAAAAAAATCCCGGGTTTACATTCAGATTAATACAATGGCTTCACCTCATCTTACCTTTATTTTTAGGCATAACCAACCAACGTGAAGAAGACTAATTTGAATGTGCCACAAGTCCTAAGTGAATTGTAGCTAGTCGCGCCTCACACTGCTCAAACTTCAAACGGTCGAACTTGACAGACCTATGATGGAGAATTTCTGGTTCGTTGGGACCTACCTCCCGGTTGGAGAATGAGGTATTGGTTAAAGATAGGAGTGATGATTCAAAGTCCATCGTATCCATAATATGTTTACGTGCAAATTGTTACCTGTTCTACGTTTAATAGGTGCCCGTTTTAAGTGTAGTGTGGTACTGAAACGCACTATTGATTTATTGGATTGGTGATTACAGACGACACAACATTACGATCATAATCCCGTTCACTTTTCTATGTCAAACAAGTTGGAGGTCTAATGAAGTTTAGAGGGTTAAGTAGGATTCACTCCTTAGGTCATGCACCTTATTGGCTGCTCAGAGCTTGTTTCAAGAAAGTGATGTCTTTGTTGAAATTGGAGATATAACGATTAGCTTTCTTCAGATAGAGTTGTTGGTACGTACTAAGGCGGTTTTGAATACTTCAGGGGCCAGGTTGCCTTAATTTCGGAAGCGGATTCCCATGAAACTAGCGACCTTCGTAGTACCAATTCAGTAGAATGTCACACCTAACATACCACTTAAAGTGATACCTAGGTGTTTTTCCTCGGCGAAATGTGCGGTATATTATTACTGTCCACCGTTAGTATTCTGCATTTACTGATACCAAGATGTGGCATTCGTGTATTCTACCGAAATCCTCCCAGAGTGGATTGTAAGATCCATTTTGAAGATTTTGTGTGTGAAAATCCCTCCATGCATACATATGCAACTTGTTCTTATTGGTTTCTTTAGTTGTACATTTTGTCAGCCTTTTTTGGTTCCATTTGAGATGGTAATATTTTATTTCATTATGGTGTAGTGACCGGCCAGTCTCGATAAGAACACGATTGGAATAACGGAAACATTATTATTGTAACCAATTGTACCAGAGATTGTTTTACGGTATTCGTTTAACTGTATCAGTTTCACTTCTTGTTTCGCTCTCCGCCTGGTTTGGTTCGAACTTGCTCACGCACTGCTCATTTTGCCTGTACGCTTTGGCACGTCTCGGTATTATTTCGATACCACGAGATCGCCAATAAATATATTTGATCTGGATTAATAAAGCCTTCTGATTTACGAGCTGTCAAAGGAACCAAGTCGTTTTTGGGCGCGTAATCGAATTGTAGTGGTGAACATAGTCCGTCCTCGACTCGACATCCACTACAATGGTTTTCTCATTTTTCTTTCACCTTCACTGCATTTCTGTGTTTCTTCTTGAACTGCATTTATGTTTTAGCTGATGCTTAATCTTGGCAGCAGCCATATTGATTGTTCCCCCTTTGATTGTGTTGCTTGAGTTGACTGGGATCGTGTATTTTGATTGTGTATTGAAGCACTTTTCCAGAATTGGAAACACTTTGTGTTATAAAGCGACAAACTATTATCTTTTGAACGGTTTTTTACTTGATCTGTTCAGAAAGGACAGAATAACACTTATCTTTTGGCGCGCTCGGAAATTTTTCTACATTCCTTACCAATTTGTCTATTTATTGTAATTTCGATCGATTATTGAAGGAACAATTATTGGTTGAATAATTGAATGGTAATATTTGTTTAGATAAAAATGTATATTTATATTTACTATGAAATTTACAATCGTTATTCCCCCAATCATCTTGTCCTGATTTCAAAGGGGTAATAAGGTGTGTCTAAACTACCGAGGCAGTCATTCTTCAGCCAAACCTTGGTTTGGATTTTACACAGAGATAATTGTAAGACCCTACATTCCTCCTCAAATCTTAAGATCAACGACTTACAATGGAGTTTAGGAATATTGGTCGCTTAGCAGGCTGCTGACAGACAATTACAAGCAAAGTAACCTGAAGAAAAACTTGTTGCGGACAACTTATTGAACTTCTATAGTCAAGAGCCTAACCATACATATTGATTCTGGTCTTCAGTGGAAATTTCGATGGTCAACTTAGTGAAGGCCTAGACAAATACACAAGTGTCATAGTATATCAGGTGATCGACTATTGCTGGCTGTCAAAAGTTTGAGTTACACGATCTGCCTGTCGGACATACATATTAAAAATAAGGGAGTGCATAGTTGCTTAGGAGAGATCCATTTGCAGCTTTCCTTATGACCTCAACTAAAGAGAGCGTCAAATTCAACCTGTAAATTGAAATTTGACATGACTACTTCCTTTATGTAGAAGCAAGCTGGCGACATTTTGAGGCCCGGTTAGCGAGTGCGTCTCATGGATATTATACTGTGGAATCCAGTTTCTATCACATAACTTGGTAATCGACTGGTTGATTATATTTCACCAAAGGAGTACCATGGTTTAGATCTACAAATCTCGATGCCTTTAAGAAGGAAACGAAATCCTGTTTGCCAGTATTCTGAGCTCACAGATATAATTCCTGTCGAATTTGTTTCTACCCAGAGTAACTTTGGTTGGACTGGTTAATAAAAAGGATTGTAAATACAAGTAACATAATAGGTTATTTGATTAGGCTTCTATCAGTGCAGCTAGTTGGTTTTTGGCATTATTTGGTAGTAATCTAGAGAACCTCCAACCGTTGTTATTAATGGACTTACACAATATTATATATTTCGTGCAATATGTAATTCTCTGCAAATGGATAGTTCGGACACTAAATATATTGATTTTCACAAATATGTAAGATTCTAAAGTTTGGTTTCACCCATCTTATTTTCCCCGATTCAGATAAAATGTTTTTCTAAAACCGAAAAAGACTACAAGCATAGGCTATTCTGGATGCTAGTTCTTCAACATATATCCCTGTATTGTTAAACAATCGAAAGTCTAACGTGGTCAAAGAAGCCTGACAGGTGGTAGTTAGCATTACCGCCGATAGTGTTGATCGAATTGATATAGTGATGTTACAACATCGTGCCATACATCATGGAGATCCGCTACAAGGATGAGTACGGAACGCAAAGGGAAGACTGCTGGGTTGTCCGTAAGTTTATTAGCTGCAGGACTCAAGCACAATGTGCGTAGTTGCTGAAACAAAATGTTTTGGAAGCACTATGCAATATACTTACCGTCTCAGACGGAGGTTGTGCTTGTGGTTCTAGAAGGAAAAAGAAACCTAGAGATTTCTGATCTGTATGGTTAATTAAAACCAATTTACATTGAGTTAGAAACACGTGGAGACTTGGATTTTCATGTTGATTGCATCAATAGTCACCAGTCAACCACTTCGTTATTTTTCGTTCAACCGTTAACAGTGATCCAATCGGTTTTGTGGACTCAGAAGCTGTGGTCTAGGCTACGATTTTTCGCCAGCTTATGTGTTGTATTTTGTGGCTTAAAAAGTGAAGCATTAGCATCTGAAGTGTTTGCTAATACACTTCATAGAGAACCCGAAGTGACGTTGGTTATACGACATTTAATGTCCAGTACTGACTCCACCTTGTCACATTCTATTAATCAATGGATTTATGGTCTTTTAGACAATCCTCATAAACAATTCCTTGTTGTAGCAGATACGCCAGTGAAAATGGATCGTTTGTGATATGATAAATGTAATTTTCGGCATTATATGATTCCAAGATTTATCACTCCAAACCAAGCTAATAAAACTTTCGTCACTAGTAAAACCATCAACTTTTAATTAATGTTTGTGGCAAAAACCAAGCCATTAAAAGTCGTATATTTATTCGTCATATACGTTTAGGAAGGGTTGAGTCAATATTTGGACAAGATTTGGATCAATCGTTTGATCTACTGTATATAAACAAACTAGTCAACGTTTATCAGAAATATTAATAAGATGTAATTTCTTAGATCATTTAAGAGCTACAAATCAATTTTTCACTCTCAGAACAGGGGGATTTTATTCAACATTTTACGGATTTGTTAAATTCTAATTTTAAAAAAATAACGTTCACAAATACTAATTAGTCGATCAAGTGATACATCGAGGACAGCTATACACGGTTCTAACACACGGTATGAGCAATCGCAAATTTTTAAACCTTTAGATGTTCGTCTACTGGATATATCAGCAGGCAAAGATACTGTATGGGATACATTTTCATTAGATTATCATGTCCATGGTGCATATTTACCGATAATTGTCGTTTTACTTATCTCTTTTTGTCTAGTTTTCCCTGGCGTGCTGAACATATGGAGTGTACATTAAGTAAATCATGGAAACAACGATTATATGCAACATGTTTAGGTTATGATCTACAAGTTGATTTATCATTAGTGTTACACTAATTATAATTATTCAGTGCAGAAATACGATATTTTATAATAATAATAATAATAATAATAATTTATTCTCAAATAACAGATTGTTACATGAGGCATGCCGGTTTACAGGCAAGATCAAATTGTTAAAGAAGTTACAATTTTCACTGTTGAAAATTACTCGGCTGGGTTGATAATTCATAAGATATGAATGTAAATGGATTTCGTAAGAAATATATCAATATCACACTTGGCGCACTTTATGGAGGTAGCTTTGCAACATACAACTGATGGTCGAGAATAGATACATGCGAAGTTGGGGGCTTTTAGAAGTTTCGAACTTATATCCCTCCGGAATATCTGAGGCTTTAATAACGGTGTAGGACGAAGCCACCCGTGCCATATCTGTTTTCGGTGGAGTATCTGCAGGAGGCTGAAAAAGGTGTAAGAAAAGGGAAGGACGAAAAGCAGAGCACACAATATTCATGAAGGAATAGTTAATGTATAACCATTTAGTCTATTTGTCTGTCACTGAAGTATTTATTAGGTAAGAACATACTAATGTGTTAAAGAAAAATAAGTGTGGGCAAGGTATGAGTGTGTAAGGAACTGTATAAATGAAGGTAGTTCGGAAGAAAGCATGGAATTGTGTAGTTATAAAATAAAGTGCTGAAAACAGTATTCCGATACAAATGGCTGTCTCCCTTTTTTCGAAGCTGTTTG